TTCCCTTTTTATTTTGATGCTTGTTTCTTTTGCTGTGCAGAAGCTTTTTAGGTTAATGTAGTCCCATTTGTTTATTTTTTCCTTTGTTTCTTTTGCCCTACTCATTGTATCAGTGAAAATTCTGCTATTTGAGATGTTTGTTATTTTGCTGCTTACATTTTCTTCTAGAATTTTTATGGTTTCATGATTTACATTTAAGTATTTTATCCAATTTGAATTTATTATTGTGTATGGTGTAAGTTGGTGGTCTAGTTTAAATTTTTTTTTGCATGTACCTGTCCAGTTTTCCCAACACCATTTATTGAAAGAGACTGTCTTTACTCCATTTTATGCTCTTGCCTCCTTTGTCAGATATTAACTGAGCATAATGGCTTGGGTCAATTTCTGGGATCTCTGTTCTGTTCCATTGATCTATATGCCTTTTCTTATTCCAGTACCAGGCTGTTTTGATTACAGTGGCTTTTTAGTATAATCTGATATCTGGTATTGTGATCCCTTCAACTTTGTTCCTCTTTCTCAAGATTGCTGTGGCTATTTTTTGTTTCCATATGAATATTTGGAGTATTTGTTCTAGCTCTGTGAAATATGTCATTGGTATTTTGATACGAATTTCATTGGATCTATAGATTGCTTTGGGAAGTATGGACATTTTAATGATACTAATTCTACCAGTCCATGAACACAGTATATTCTTCCACTTGTTTATGTCTTCTTCCATCTTTTTAAACAATCTATAGTTTTCTTACTAGAGGTGTTTTACCTCCTAGTTAAGTTTATTACTAAGTATCTTAATTTTTTTTTTTTTACAATGGTAAATGGGATTTTTTTTTAGTTTCTGTTTCTGAAAGTTCATTATTGGTGTATAAAAATGCCATCAATTTCTGGATGTTAAATTTGTATCTGCTACATTACTGAATTCATTTATTAAATCTAGTAATTTTTGATGGAGTCTCTAAAGTTTTCTATGTATAATATCATGTCATCTGTGACTAATGACAGTTTTACACCACCTTTCCAGTTTGGATGTCTTTTTTTTTCTTTTCTTATTAGTGTGTGTAGGACTTTCAGTATGATGTCAAATAAAAGTGGACATCTCTGTCTTGTTCCTGTCCTTAGGGGAAATGGTTTTAGTTTTTGTCCATTGAGTATGATGTTGGCTGTAGATTTGTCATATATGACCTTTATTATGTTGAGGTATGATCCCTCTATTCCTACTTTGCTGAGAGTTTTTATCAACAACTAGAGGCCCAGTTCATGAAATTCATGCACTGGTGTGGTCCCTAGGCCTGGCTGGCAATTGAAGTGGGAGCGTGTGGTGTGGAAGGGCAGGTCCCAGTTGACCTTTGGGTCCTGGGCAGCACCTGGGCCCTACTCTCCCTCCCCCCTTGCCACCACCACTGGTCGCCGTCTGCAGGGCTATTGGCAGGGCGCTCCGTCACCTGCTCTACCATCCCACCATGGTCCTGCTCTCATTGGGGTCCATTGGGGCCAGCAGAGTATCCACTGCCACCTGCTGCCAGCTCCACATCGCCGATGCCCGCCATGTTCCATGCCGTTCCCTGGTGGTCAGCACACATCATAGTGAGCAGTCAAACTCCCAGTTGAGGGGACAGTTTGCATATTAGGCTTTCATTATATTGAATGGGTGTTGGATTTTGTCAGATGCATTTTCTGGGTCTATTGATGTGATGATGTGATTTTTGTCTTTCAATTTGTTATGTAATGTATCACATTTATTGATTTGAGAATATTGTACCAGCCTTACATCCCTGAAATAAATTCCACTTGATCATGGTGTATGATCTTTTTAATATATTGCTGAATCTGATTTGGTAATATTTTTTGAGGATTTTAGTATCTCTGTACATCAGGGATATTGGCCTGTAATTCTTTTTCTTTGTAGTGTCTTTAGTTTTAGATTTAGGATAATGCTTGCCTCATGGAAAGTCCTTGAAAGTATTCCTTCCTCTCGGATCTTTGGACTAGTTTGAGGAGCGTAGGTATTATTTCTTCTTTAATTATTTGGTAAAACTTCCTATTGAAGCTATCTGTACCAAGGCTTTTGTTTGCTGGGAGTTTTTTTTTTCCTTCTCATTATTGCTTCAATTTCATGGTTGTTATCACTCTATTCAAATTTCCTGATGCTTGATTAAACTTTGGAAGATTATAGTTTTCAAGGAATTTTTTCATTTTGTCCAAGTTTCTAACTTGTTGGCAAACAGATGTTTAATATTTTCTTACAATCCTTTGTATTTCTGTGGTGTCAGTTGTTACATCACCTCTTTCATTTCTGATTCTATTTATTTGGGTCCTCTCTCATTGTTTCTTGATGATTCTGGCTAAAGGTTCATCAATCTTGTTTATTTTTTAAAGAACCAGCTCTTGGTTTCATTGATCTTTAGTATTGTTTTTTAGTCTTTGTCATTTATTTCCCTTCTGATCTTTATTATTTTCTTCCTTCTACTTACTCTGTGCTTTTCCTGTTGTTCTTCTTCTAATTCTTTCAGTTGTGGGATTAGATTGTTTATTGGAAATTTTTCTTATTTCTTGAGATAGGCCTGTAGTGCTATGAACTTTGCTATCTGTACTGCTTTTGTTGTGGCCCATAGATTTTGGATTGTTGGGTGTTCATTTTCATTTGTTTCCAGGAAATTTTTTATTTCTTCTTTGATCTCATTGGTAACCCATTCATTCTTTAATAACATACCATTTAACCTCCATGTGTTTGACTTTTTTTGGATGCTTTTATTGCAGGTGATTTTTAGTGTAGGCCATTGTGATCTGAGAAGATGCTTGATATGATTCAATCTTCTTGAACTTGTAGAAACTTAGTATGGTCCTAACATGTGGTCTGTCTTTGAGAATGCCCCATGTGCACTTGAGAAGAATGTATGTTTTCTAACTTTGGGTGGAAATGTTCTGTAAATGCCAATTGAATTCATTTAATCTAGTATGTTGTTTAGGGTCACTGTTTCCTTGTTGGTTTTTTGTCTAGAAGATATAGCCAATGATCTAGTGGTTTATTAAAGTCCCCTACTATGATTGTATTCTTGTCGATTTCTCACCTAAAATCCTCCAGAAATTTTTTTTATATATTTGGGTGCTCCTGTATTGGGTGCATATATGTTTACCAGGGTTATGTCATCTTTTTGGATCCATCTCTTTAGTATTATGGAGTAGCCTTCATTGTCTCTTACTATGGCATTTTTTGAAGTCTGTTTTGTCAGATCTGAATATTGTTACCCCTGCTTTTTTCATTTCCATTTGCATGGACAATTTTTTTTCTATCTTTTCACTTTCATCCTGTGTGAGTCTTTTGTTCCAAAGTTGGTCTATATAGACAGCATATAAATGGGTCCTGTTTTCTTATCCATTCAGCTACCCTATGTCTTTTTTAAAATAATTTTATTGATTTCAGAGAGGAAGAGAAAGGGAGAGAGAGATAGAAACATCAATGATGAGAGGGAATCATTGATCAGGTGCCTTCTGCACGCCCCCTCCTGGGATTGAGCCCACAACCTGGATATTGCCCTTAACTGTAATTGAACCAGGGCGCCTTCAGTCTGCAGGCCGACACTCTATCCACTGAGCCAAACCGGCTAGGGCTACTCTATGTTTTTTGATTGGAGCACTTAAGTTATTTACATTTAAGATTATTATTGATAGGCACCTATTTGTTGCCATTTTTATTCTTTATGCCTGTGACATATCATTTTTTTTTTATTGTTTAACATTGTACATATGTCTCCTTTTTCCCAATTGACCCCCCCAGCCACTCCCACCCCCGAGGGCAAGCCCCAACTACCCCAGTGTCTGTGTCCATTGGTTATGCAAATATGCATGCATTCAAGTCCTTTGGTTGATCTCTAACCTCCCCCCCCGCCGCCATTTGTCTCTGAATCTATTTTTGTTCATCAGTTTATGTTGATCATTATATCCCACATATGAGTGAGATTATGTGATATTTATCTTTCTCCGACTGGCTTATTTTGCTTAGCATAATGCTCTCCAGTTCCATCCATACTGTTGCAAATGGTAAAAGTTCCTTCTTTTCTATAGTGGCATAGTATTCCATTGTGTAGATATACCAAAAGTTTCTTAATTTACTCATCTGCTGATGGGCACTTAGGTTGTTTCTAAATCTTAGCTATTGTAAAATGTGCTGCTATGAACATAGGGGTGCATATATTCTTTCTGATTGGTGTTTCTGGTTTCTTGGGATATAGTCCTAGAAATGAGATTACTGGGTAAGTGGGAGTTTCATTTTTAATTTTTTGAGGAAACTCCATACTGTCTTCTTTTACGTCCAATGATTTCTAATTTGATTTATATTCTAAATATTTTGCAAATATTTAATGCTCAAGTTTAAGAGTAGGGTCAGAATATTGAGACTTGATTTCCAGAATTAGTTTGAGGGATTGTCTATTTTCCCAATGATTTTCTATTTTTAATAAAATGTTTATAAGATTCAGCAGCAATTGTTATATTGGTACAATTGTAGGGTGATGATTCATGGTATAATTAAAATTATTGATAAAATAATTTTTTTACCTTTCATTTATTACATAAAAACGTCACTTTCAGGCTAAATCTTTTTTTGAAGAGAATTTTGATATTCTTATCTTATTAGGTACTGAGTAGCTACAGTGACTCTTTAAAAATACGTTTTAATTGATTTCAGAGAGAGGAAGGGAGAGAAAAATAGAAACACTAATTATGAGAGTGAATCATTGATTGGATGCCTCCTGCACGTCCCCTACTAGGGATCGAGCCTGCAACCCACGCACGTGCCCTGATGGAATCGAACTGTGACATGGTTTATAGGCGACGCTCAACCACTGAGACTAGGGACTCTTGTTTTATGAGACATTTTCTCTTCCTGCGGTAAATATTTTATTAGGTTTAGCATATTGTCATTTTTATTTTTATTTTTTTAGTGAAAAGGAGACCTGGAAAACACAATCTGAAACAATGAAAGAAGAAAAGAAAAAACTTGATAGTCAAATTCAACAAGATGCTATAAAAGTAAAAGAATATAATGTAAGTAAAACATTTTTGAAGTCAGTGTACGATTTTGTAGCCTGGCCTGAGTTGCTCAGTGGTTGAGCGTGTACCCATGAACCCGGAGGTCACAGTTCAATTCCAGGTCAGTGCACATACGGGCTTGGTCCTCCGTAGGTGGCGTCCAGAAGGCAGCAGATCAATGATTCTTTCACATGAGGGAATATATATGATAGTGTGTAAACTAAGATAGCTAAAATTAACAAGTACTGTAAACGTGTCTTTGTGCAGAACTTGCTCAGTACTCTTCAGATGGATTCAGATGAAATGAAAAGAACACTTTCCGATTATAGTAGAAAAATCACTGTCTTGCAAGTCAATGAAAAGTCACTCATAAGACAATATACTACTTTAATAGAAATGGAGCACCAACTTAGAAAAGAAAATGACAAACAGAAGAATGAATTGATATCAATGGAAGCTGAAGTTGGTGAAAAAATTGGACGTTTACAACGATTTAAGGTATATCTGAATATTTATCTTTGAAAATTTTCAAACATGAAGAAGAAAGGATAGTATAATGAACACCTAATATCTGGATTAATAGCTAACATTTATTACCACTGTGCCATAATTGCTTCTATTTTTTGTAGGAGTATTTAAGTTACAGACATTGCTCTCCTAAGTATTTTAGCGCGCATCTCTAAAATCAAAACTTTTTTGACGTAACCACTATAACTTTATTACACCTATTAAAATTGATAAGAATTCCTTATATCATCTAATGTCCAGACAATATTTGTATTTACTTAGTTGTCCTAGGATTCAGTTAAGGACCTTGCATTTTTTTTTTTTAATGTTACATGTCTTTTTAATATAGAATCCCATAGTTTTTTTCTCTCTGAAAAATGTTGGTGATTTATTCTATCTAATAAAGAGAGAATATGCTAATTGAACCTCACACCATTGCAAAGATGGTGGCGCCCACAGCCAATAAGGAGGGAATATGCTCATTGACTGCCACGCCCTCAAAGATGGTGGCGCCCACAGCCAATAAGGAGGGAATATGCTCATTGACTGCCATGCCCTTAAAGATGGCGGCACCCACAACCACAAGATGGTGGCACCCAGTCCCCTCAGCCCCTACCGGGGTGGCAGGCATGCACCGAGGCTAGGCCTGCCCCCAGGTGGGTCTGGCTGCTCCGCTGCCTGCCTCCAGAGTCCCCCAGTCCTCTCAGCGCCCCAGCCACCCAGGGCTGGCCTGAGGCACAGGTAACCAGGGCCGGCCGAGACTTGCACTGCCGGCAGGGGCAGCAGCAGAGGTGTGATGGGGTATCACCTTCCCCTGATCCCCAGGTCACCTCCCGCCCCCGAGGGCTCCCAGACTGTGAGAGGAGGCAGGCCGGGCTGAGGGACCCCCCCTTCCAGTGCATGACTTTTCATGCACCAGGCCTCTAGTATGATAATAATTATTTTCTTTTTCTGTGTAATTCTACTTGTTTCTCTATCCATTGCATTTGCTAAAGTTACCCTGAAAGCCTTGGTTATATGCAGGTTAAATATTTTTGGCCAGAGGCCCGGTGCACAAAATTTTGTGCACTCAGGGAGGGGGGTCCCTCAGCCCGGCCTGTGCCCTCTCGCAGTCTGGGACCCCTCGGGGGATGTCCAGCTGCTGGTTTAGGCCAGCTCCCCGGGGGATCGGGCCTAAGCTGGCAGTCAGACATCCCTCTGGCAGCATGGGAGCCCTTGAGGGATGTCCACTTGCCAGTGGGGAGCAGACCTAAGCTGGAGAGGGTACAGAATTTTGTGCACTGGGCCTCTAGTTTAATATATATTGAAGTTCATTTGTTTTTAATTTCAGGGATTGCTTTTTTCCTTTTTTTTAAGTTGAATTTGAATATAGAAGTATTTGCATATTCAAAAAAAGTCAGTCAGAGAAATCTTCTGACCCTGTACCTTTTACCCCCTATATGTAACTAATTATCCTTCTAATGTTTCAGTTTGCAAATGTTAACAAAGACACAAAATGTTATCTGCTTATATGTACTCCTCTGCACCTTGTTCTAAATCTGATCTTATTATGTAGCTTCTTTAAAAAATATATTTTTATTGATTTCAGAGAGGAAGAAAAAGGGAGAGAGGGATAGAAACATCAATGATGAGAGAGAATCATTGATAGGCTGCCTCCTGCTCATCCCCCACTGGGGATCGAGTCCACAACCCGGGTGTGTGCTCTTGACTGAAATCGAACCTGGGACCCTTCAGTCCACAGGCCGATGCTCTATCCACTGAGCCAAACCAGCTAGGGCAATGTAGCTTATTTTAAGCATGTGTATGCTCAGTTGACATGTCTAAATTTACATAGCATCATATAAACAGAAGAATTCAAAGTAAAATTAAAATGAATTTGAGTTCCTTATCATCCCCTGTTAAATATAGTAATGGATGAAATTATTATGCGAAGAACCCTATTTTCAATGTAATCTTAAAGCTGAATCATGATGCAACAAAAAACCTATTGAAAATAAAAGCTATTTTTACTTGGACATATTTTAAGAAAATATTAGCACTTAAATATTCTTGTTTTTATTTAGCATTAGATTTTGTAGAATATACTTTTCTTGAGGTATTACGAATACAGCTGGTGTATAAGATAGAAGGGAAAAAAGAACTAGAATGTTATTCCTCTTCAACCTGATTGTTCAACCTGGATTTTTTCCCCACCAATTAAAAAAACAAAATAAAACAACAAAAAGGGGGACTTTAAAAGGGATCTGAAGCATAACTTCCCTTACCCTCCACAAAGAAAAAGTGAAAACAAATCTCAAGGGTATTGTAGGATAGTGTATACTTATTTACATGGAGAAGAAAGGTTGTCAAAATAAGATCTGAAGCACCGTCACAAATATTTGATTTCCTTACTACTCTACTTCAGAATGAATTATAACTATAAATTGATTATCTTTTTCACTTCAAAAAATTGGTTGTTCTTTGCCCTACCTCTTTGTTAACTTACTTTGAAGAAAACTGAAAGTTTAGATATTTTTTTTTGGTGTTAAACTATGTATTTGAATTGTGACTTTTTTAGCTGTGTAGTTAATGAGTAGAACATGAGCCAAGTAACTTAAAAATTTTAATATTTATTATAGATAGATATGATAAATATAACTCTTTTCTCTTAATTAATGTTTCCTTTCTGTGAACAAAAAAAATATTTTATTACAGTTAGTCTTTGTAACCATGATAACCAGAAATAGCTAAGCTGTAAAGGTTACTTGTGGCAATGCTAATGTTGCCATCCAGTTATCAAAAGAGAAGTTATTTTTTTAATTTTATGAAATTTAGAAAAGCCAGCAAAAGATAGTCTAAATTATGTATTTTCCTGCTGCTTTTTTTATTTTGCTCAAATTAACTGAATTTTATTTTATTATGATAAGTGTTATAAAAGGATTCACTTTATTTTTATTATGGTTAAAAATCCCAAATAAGATGATTTGTTATATGAAAAAAAATAATTATTATTGCAATATTTTTCTTATATGAGAAATCTATTCTTTTTCTTTTTTGAGAAATCTTATTTTTAAAATTATTCTCAAAGCCTCTTTTGTTTTTGATTGTATTATCTTTCTCAAAAGTGGCTAGTGCCTCACCAGAAGAAACAGTACAGTAATTTAACTGATTGTATCCTTATTTATATAGGAGATGGCCATTTTCAAGATTGCTGCTCTCCAAAAAGTTATGGATAATAGTGTTTCTCTGTCTGAACTAGAATTGGCCAATAAACAATACAATGAATTGACTGCTAAGTACAGGGACATCTTGCAAAAAGATAATGTGCTTGTTCAAAGAACAAACAACTTGGAACACCTAGAGGTAAGTTTGTGTGATCTGAGAACCCTGTGGTATCAAGCCATTTTTCTTTGGTCATATGTATCTGCAAGTGCAGAATGCTTTCTGGTCATCCAGGTCATCCTCCGTAGCCAACTTGCATGATATTGCTGAATCAGACCTCTTTCCATCAGGAAATTAAGAAAGGAAAAAGGAACATGGAACAGATAGAATATTATAATCAAAAGAAGAAGCAGCATTAAGTACCCATCCCTTTTTCTTACCTTTGTTCCTGGAACAAATTATTCTTTCATGGCCCCTGGCTTTTCTATTTCTTGTGGTGGTTGTAACTGAGAGTGGGTGAGATATTAATGGCTCTTCCCCAGCGATGGATGAGCTTGGCAAATTCCCATTCTTTCTTATGGTAGAGATACAGATACAGAAGAGCAGGATGAAGTAGCATAAGTTTAAATCTGATAGTGAATATGGCCCAGAGCCTTTGTGTGGCCACTTAACTCTTCTAGCCACTTAACCTCCATACCCTTTACGGTAGGCAAATTAAGCTTCTGATTTGTTCATCTTCCTTATCAGAAACTAGAGGCCCATTGCATGAAATTTTGTGCACTGCCGGGGAGAGGGGATTCCCTCAGCCCGGCCTGCACGCTCTTGCAGTCCAGGACCCCTTGCTCCTTACTGCCTGCCTGCAGCAGAGGCAGGAGAGGCTCCCACCACCACTGCTGTGCTCATCAGTCATTGAGCCCAGCTTTTGCCTGGACAGTGCTCCCCCTGTGGGAGTGCACTGACAACCAGGAGGCAACTCCTACGTTGAGCCCCTTCCCCCTGGTGGTCAGTGCGTGTCATAGTGACCAATCGTTCCACCATTTGGTCAATTTGCCTATGAGGGTTTTATTATATAGGATACGATTATATGTCTTTTGGTTATTATTTATTCTCTTTTATGATCCTCTAATGGGGTGGAATGACAGAGAATTCTATTGGCTCAAAAGCCTTTACTTGCTTAGGGGAACACAGTCAATAAAACAAAGCATTATTACCAATAGCTTTCAATGACTCCTACAAAATTAACATGATTTATTAATACTAACTAGAAATAATGTTAATTAGTTTACTTTTTGTTTTTTGCCAAGGAGAGATAATTATGTTACTTTTTATGAAAAAGTAATTCATTTATTTTTATTAACCTTCACTCGGATATTTTTTTCATTAATTTTGAGAGAGAAAGAGAGAGAGAGAGAAACATTGATGTGAGAGACACATCGATTGGGTGCCTCCCACATGTGCCTACAAGGCCAGGGATCAAACCTGCAACCCAGGTATGTGCCCTTGACCAGGAATCCAACCAAGATCCCTTTGATGCATAGGCCCATGCTCTAACCATTGAGCAACTGGCCACAGCTTTTTTTTTTTCATGTCCTCTGTCCTCTTTGTCATTAGAAAATTAGGTAAGCAGTCTTCTATAGATAACATATCAATGAGAAATTTTAACTTTATTTTATCTATTTTTTTTCTGTTCATCAGATTATTTATTCACTTGTTGATAGATGCATATTTGTTGTTCATAATTTGTATCTTTACCTTTCTCTTCTTCCTCTTCTTAAAGGATACCTTTCAGCATTTCATATAATACTGGTTTGGTGGTGATGAACTCCTTTAGCTTTTCTTATCAGTGAAGTTCTT